CCCTTGTCCTATGATTCTAACATGCTACGTCGATTAATTATGTCTTACCAACATGCCCAACTTTATACTATAGTTGGAAGTGTGTCTGGCTGATGAAGATGTAAAAATTACTTATTACGTTCCAGTTCTTTCTACAGCCATTCCCATTCATTTCTCAAGCACTTTATTTTGATAGTAGGTTCGTTTAGCTTTTTTAAGTAGGACAGTAAGGTTTTGTGAATACACTTTAGACCAGGCACGAAGAGACAAGTTGAATGACTGCAGCATTACTTCACGTCTCAGTAATCTTGGTTCAGTGAGAACGATGTCACGAAGTAGTTTATATTAATACCACACAGGGCCATCACCTGGGAATCGAAACATAACAAATAGCTATTGCTGATTATACGTAATGCACACAGCGCCAGAGTAATAAACATGGCAAAGGCAAGCTGTGTCAAGTCTTCGTTCATGCATGTGGCATAAAGAAAAGGTGAAAGAGTTCTGCCTTTTGCTTAAGTGTCTGCACTGCCTTAGGTGAAAACCTTTGGCAAATGTGCCCTAAGGCAGCAGCAGGTTTTGCTTATGAATTTATGACAAGCAGTCCACTAGGTGTGCGCTTGTCTTCCTGAGTAAGCTACATGCATATGAACATCAACCAAATAAAGCCATGGTGTCAAATATTCTGTGCTGCTCAGCTGCACTCACGAGGCGCCCTTACCGAAGGGTGCGTCGTCTTCTTTCTGTCTAGGGGGCTTTGCGGCAAGTTTTGGGACGGCACCACACCTAGTGTAGGTCGCCTACGCTCATAACCCGAGTGCAATAAATGACTGAAGTACTGGTGAGGCACTTAAGCACGGTTACAAGCTTATCAAAGAGTGGTGCGTACGGCATGTATTGCCGAAGTTACTGTCAGCAAAGTGTTGGCTGCACACAGTTAATAAAGGCATGGGGCGCTTTCCCATTCTGAGCTTGACTATCCACTCCTTCAAGTCCTTTGAATAGTTGTGAAAGCGAATGCCCTTTTCACCGGCGGACGAAATACACTAAGGCACAGAGCAGTACTTCACTATTGTGCAGACTCGCCGCGGAGACAAGCGGTCACAGTACTAAGAAACAAAGTACCATGCTTCTAAAATGAACACAAAAAGCAGTGACTTGCAGTTTTTCAAACAGCATCCGTACCAACTATACAGAAGATAACCAAGTGAATTACATATTCGTTGAGTTTTACCATGACAGTGCTTTCTACACAGCGCCGGGCCTACGTAGCAGATAAAAGCGCATGAATTCCCGCTTTGACGCCATACAGGTGTGGTTGGCAGGGCTGCGGTTGGTCACACACCAGGTGAATAGCAGTTTTTATCTTGATCCCTACCATTGTGTAATGACATTTACAATAAAAATAAATCAATAAATCAATAAATAAATCATCTGAGGTCTAGAATTTGAAGTGATGTTTGTCATGTCAAAGCCATGGCAAATTTTAGTGAATTTTGCCAAAATGCGATTGAGAAATAACCTGCCATGTGTTGACTATTTTAGGTTGTATTTTTCTGAAAAGAAATTTTACAGGTGATCAAAATAGTTTACTGCAGCTTTTTAATACACAAATGTGTAAAGCCAGAGAAGCTTTGGAAAAGAAATCAGGAAGAGCTTTTTGTGTCAGTATTACTCCGAACTGAAAAATGTTCAATAGTACTCAGAGTGTAGTGTTCTTTGAAACACGAGTCTATGCACAGTGCCTCATCGCCGTCTGCACACATAGCAAGCACTTCCCTGTTTTCTTCTTGAAGTAATGAGTTGTGCTGGCACACACATGGCTTTGCTGCGAGTGGCAGCATTGGGCACAGTGAATTCGGTAATGAAGGAAAATGAGAATAATAAAACTTCGATTATATGTCATCCGGTTTCGCGGCGAACAGTATTTCTTGCCGAGTGGTTTGGTCCCTGCGAAATCCCCATAAAAGTATAATGTATTAAAAACTTTGGTTATACAGTACGATGCATTTTAAACCGACCCCATATCTTATGACGACTTTCAGATTCTATCCGAAAAAAAAAAAAAAAACACCTTTACTCAAATCAATTGTCACGCAAATATTCACGAGTGCAAAATGTGAACTTGTATTCCTCTGGGTCGACGATTACAACAGTAGAGAGACAGAATGTATTCTTAGAATGGAAAATTTTTTCTCCTGGAAATTCATGTGCTTCTAGATAAGCCTCAATTGCATGCGTATGTATCTGGGATCGTTACCTAGTCAGGCTCTTATACACACAAGAATAGCTTTAGCTGGATGAAAAGCGCATATTTTCGAATCCTCGGCCCGTCGAAACCTTTCCTGATCGACATGCAGCTGATCTCCTGCCTGAGTCATACTCGCAGTTACAGGCTTGCAAGGCTGAGTGCCACTGCTTCAAATCTTAGTTTTCTTTATTATACGACGGTTTCGCGTAGTCCCCTGAAAGTCGTATAATCGAGGTTCCACTGTACCTCGTGAGTGTCAGCGATAAACAAGTTAAGAACCTCACCAATAAACATGGAAATAAACTTTTATTGTCCCTGCAAGAGAGGGTCGATAAAGTTTTGCACGCCTCCACTGTGATTATGATGACTTGGTACATGGCGCGGTGATTTGGGTATATGGCGTCATTTCTCTAGAAAAGTTCAGGTAATCTTTAGCTGACTTAGAATTGATTGTAAATTCCAAGCCGCATGCTACACTACAATGGTTGGTTCATATGTTCTCTCGAGGCTCGACAATCGATCGACAGCCTTTTTTGACAATGTTGAAAAAGTGTTGCCGGGCCCCTTTAAAATCATGCTAAAATAATTCTCGCATGATTTATTTTACAGGCTGTATATATGCACTGCACTGAGGAAGCTTTGGTGTCGAGAATACACATTTCTCAGTCGAATGAGTTCTAGCGAAGGCATTATTGATAAATGTCATTAGGCAAATGCCACCTACTTTGCCTGTGTGATATTGTGCAAATGGCATTATATCTTAAAGCCTTAAGATTAATGCCACTTTCTGTGTCTATGTGGCTCGGGCATAACCCTTTTTCTCCTTGACACCAAACAGAGTTTGAACAGCTTTATGATGTTGGTTATTCCCGTCAAAACGAAACAAGATGGGCAATACAGTCGAACATGGATATATCGAACCCACATATATCGAATTATTGGGTATATTGAACTCGTAAGTTAACCCCTTAAAGTTACCATGTAAAAGTATATAAATTCGCACTTTTATACCAAACGATATTTTTACCCACCTCTGGATATATTGCACGCTGCATAAGCTGGAAGGTGCGCTTTGGCACTTTCCGCGCCCCGCAATCTTTGCGTGGCACCACGCCTTCGCCAAAACCTGAAATTCTTAAAAAAGATAAGGGCAAGAGGGCTCGGACTACACCATGACTGCACAATCTCCAACTTGCGGAACGGCTTTTTTTTTTTTTTTTTTTGCTTCTCTTTCTCTCTCTCATGCTTTTTCCACGTGTCCGTCGGCTCGGAGAGCAGCAACGAAGGAGCCGATGTCCTTCTCTTTTGGCCTTTTATTTTATTTTTTGTTGTTATTTTGCGAGTTTTGATCAGCACAACCACAGCGCGCGCCTTTTGCTGTTGCCCTCGCAGGTGGCCATTGCCTTGCAAGCGCTTTGTTGCGACCGTTGTCGCGTGGCCTACGTACCACCGCATGTGCAGCATTTCTCTATTATGTGCGCAGTGTGAAAACCTGCTGCGGACTCCTCGAATTGTCGATTTCTCGTGTAGCTATGGCCAGCGTAAAGAAGCACAAGACCCTTCACTTTGCAATGAAGTTGAAGGCTACTCCGCGTGTTAAGGCCGGCGAGAAATGTTGGACTGTCGCGGACGACTTTGGCATACCACGGAGCATTCTGAGTACCTTGTTGAAGAACAAAGCAGATATTAAGCGGTGCGATTTAAGCAATTTAAGCAGTGCTACAACATCGTTGGCAAAACCATTTCTGGCCAAAGCGAAGCTGTCAGCAGCCAGGACATTCAGCAGTAAATGACGAAGCAGTGGCCAAATATCTCTGCGAAGTTTTCTCCCACGGAGATCTTCAATGTCTGGCGAGACGTGCAGATGAACACAGTGGTCAACTGCTTCCACAAGGCAGGCTTCGAGACAGCGGAATTTGTGGAAACCGGTGAAGATGACAGCAAGCGCATAGATGACGCATTTCGCGAGTTGACGTTCCGCTTCCCGGCAGCAGTTTCACACGAAGTGTCTGCGGACGACTTTGTGGAAGCGGACTGCTATGTCCAGGCTGTTGCAAGCCTCGATAATGAGGACATAGTAGCTGCGGTCACAGGGACCCATGATGCACAGGCCAACAGCTCATGTGATGAGGAGGATCTTCCGGATGAGGCGCTGGCTATACGCGCATACTCCGCCGCTGAAGTGGCGGCAGCGTTTGGCGTAATTCGTTGTTGTATTAGCCACATGGAGGGAACTGGGCTGTCGTCACACCTGGATAGCCTTGATAAGATCGAGACTAGCGTCTTCAACATTTAAAAAACGAAAAAAGAGGCCAAGATAGGCGATTTTTTTCACGCAAATAAATCATTCTGTTACGACATGTGTGCAGAATTAGTTGTCATTCTTGAATGGGCCTATTGTAAGCGATGATTCGCTACTGGTAAGCTCTTGAGGCCTGTATTTCCTTATATCGAATTTTTCATATAGTATCCAACTAACTCGCAATCCCCTTCGAGTTCGATATATCCGTGTTCAACTGTATACGCATCATAGGGTAGCCAGCCGGTATGAAAACTGGCTAACATCCCTGTCCTTCCGCTTATTCCTTCCTTCCTTTCTTCTTTGACAAGGCACAGGATGAGCAAAGAGAGCTAGCACTGCTTGAATTGACGTCACACTTGGCGCCGTTAGATTCCAAAGATGGTGTTTCATTCCATGTGCTGCATCAACTTTATTGCGGTTTCTGTGGTGACTTGCTCAACATGCTGCCAGCTCTACACAAGCACTCACCTTGGCTACTTGCTTGTGACTGTCCTTGCACACTACGATGTGCTCGGGGCTCACACACACTACACGGTCCAGATCTGCGCACAACATAGGTAGGCACCATTATAGGCACTTCCAGTCATCAATTTTCCGGAATAACACACACTACATGGTCCAGATCTGCGCAAAACATAGGCAGGCATCATTATAGGCACTTCCGGTCATCAATTTTCTGGGCTCACACACACTACACGGTCCAGATCTGTGCACAACATAGGTAGGCACCATAAGTAGGCACTTCCGGTCATCAATTTTCTTAACGGCATCATTGGAAACTGTTTAGAGGCACTTTCATACGTGCTGTACCAAAGTAAATTTCTGTGAAGTCTTGAAAGAAAGGTGAATCGGAAGGTAAGGCCTGTAGTATGCAGCAAAAGCTGTTGAAACAGCTCTCATTGCAACTGCCGACGCTGACGATTGGGGGCTCCGTCCGTTCAAAAATAAACTTTTTGCATTGCACACTCAAGCTTATCGGAACAATCTAAAATAATTGGGAAATGTTCGACGTACTGACACGGCATGTGCAAGACCGTGGTTATATGTGTAATATACGTGTATTACATGACAATAGAAAAAGCAGCATGCATGCCAATATAGACACTATGCTTAAAATACGTTTACTTTGCTGGCCTGTCATGAAAGATATTCCTATTTCTGCATGAAAGCTATACCCAATTTACTCAAAAAATCCTCACACTCGCATAATTTTCTACCCCCCCCCCCCCTATTGCCCAACAAGAATAAGATTCTTTTCCCGCGAGTAATTACTGCTGCAGTTCTTGTGTTTACACTAATGTCGTCTACTTCTTTCAACCACTGATGATGACAGTGTAGAACAGCCTAGCACCATCTCTGAAGCACCATGCATAATATCTACACATGGAGACCCAATCCAATTTAGGCCATGCCAAAGTCACAAGTACGCAGAGCGATGTGTTAGTGTTAGTAGTGCTTGTCCATTTAGCTTCGATGCAGCGTGTCTTGTGCATGCTCTGTGGTTGCGCTATAGATCAATACGAAAACTACACGGCTGCTTTCAAGTATTTTAGAAGAACGTCTTGCTGGACAAGTTGGTGCACAACTGTTATGAGAATCGTTGCACATTTGATCAGATAATTACAGGAAAGACAGAGTAAATGGAGGGAACACAAACTCATTTTACCCATTTCGTCACTGCATATATGTGCACATTTTTTCCACATGTTCCAAATATATAGAAGGAAAAGAAGGGAAAATAGAGAGGAGGAAAAGCAACTCAAGATCAAAAGCTGCACAGTAAATTAATTTCTGCATTATACAGAGCAACAGGAGTGCCACTTATGCAATTGTCACAGAAACTTAAACCCCTGGTACACTGGACGTTCTAATGTCATTTGGTTCGAAGGTCATTTGGCGCAATGAATGTCATTCGATATGAGCTGGTGCTTCAAAGGAAAAAGTAAAGTCATTCGTTCGTGGTACTGTCGTGTAGCCAGCACGGCGACACGTGAAAGTAATCACGCTACACCACTGTACGATCCATGACACTAACCCAGTTTAATCAGCGAGTTTCGTTTATATACACACGAGCGCAGTGGCGCCATCTATTGTGAGTCCAATGACTCAGAAGGCCATCTGGTGTAAATGCACAACACTACATCTACCCCCTCCCTTGATAATAGAACACAGATTATGTGCATAGAAAAGAAACAGTCACTACCCGTGACAGAAAACTATAGTAAGTCTCTCCTGTAAACAAGTCACTGCACATAGTCCCCGAGTCTCTGGTGGTCTTCACTCCCGTTTAGAGCGATGAAGGGGCACCGGCTGCTCTTCTGGCTGATGGACGACCTCTGGTTCGTCGGCACGATCAGCACCCAGTCCTGCGGTCGTGTTCCCCGTTGGTGGAGGCCGTGATGAGCTTGGCGTATGAGGAGGCAGTGCTGACCCCCCCCGGAAACTGTGCAGCTTCCTGTATTGGGATATTTTGGGTCGTGTGGCTCTTTGCCTTCGAGGACGGTTTTCGTGCTGTGGCGTTTCCTGCCGACCCGTCTGTCTCGATGTCCGCCCACAGCGGTTGTTGTCTTGCCCCCGTTTCTTCGTGAACAGCTTCATGGGGTACAGCCGACAGTTGGGAGGCATTCCAGGTACGGCCGTCCTCCAAGTGGAATGACCATCGTCCTACTCGCCTCAGTATTTTGAGTGGAGCCCCAAAACTAGGAGTGCCTTTTATTCCAGGTACCGGGCGTTTCACTCGCACATAGGCCCCCACTTTAAATTTGGGCTCACGGCTGCTCTTCGCTTGTCTGCATACGCTTTATTTCTTTGTTGGTATTTGCAGACACGACGACGAAGTCTACGCAGTTCACGGGCGGGATGGGTGCCGAAATCCGCTGATGGCTGGCCAACAACATCTAATGATGTCCTCATGTGGCGGCCATGAAGCAACACTGCTGGAGAGATGCCAGTGGCGCTGTGGGGTGTGGCTCGGTAAATACCCAGGTACTCTATAACTGTGGTCTTGATTGGTCGCTGCTCTAGGAGAGCTAGTTGTACATACGATTTCAAGACCCTGTTGAATCTTTCCACTAAGCCATTGGCTTGAGGGTGGTAAACTGCCGAGAAGAAATGCTTGATGCCCCTGTCTGCAAGGAAGCACTCGAATTCAGTCGACGTAAACTGTCGGCTGTGGTCTGAGACTAGTTCAGTCGGGTAACCCTCTCGCGCAAAGACAGCAAGCAGAAAGTGGATCACCGTGCGAGAAGTGATGTCACTGCAGAACGCAATCTCTGGCCATCTGGAGAAGTAGTCCACTACCACGATGACAAATCGACAGTCGGCCGGTGCACGTTCAAAGGGGCCCATGATGTCTATTGATATTTTGTCCCAAGGCCTGTCAGGAAGCGGGACAGGCTGTAGTGGGGCTTGCCAATTCTTGACACTCTTGTCCGAGGCTTGACAGGCGCTGCAACTCCGGACGGCGGCCTCCACATGCTTGTCAAGGCAAGGCCACCAGTACTTCTCCCTGATGCGCTGCTTAGTCTTCACAATTCCCGGGTGTGACTCATGAGCTAACTGGATGAATGTATCCCTTAGCTTGGCCGGCGCTACAACGCGTTCTGTGCGCAGAAGCAACCCATCTACTACCGAGAGCTCGTCTCGTATTTCGTAGTACGGAGTCAGTTCTGCGGCAAGTCTTTTCCTTGTTGGCCATGAAGACTGGATAAATTGCATTACCTGCCGTAGTATGTCATCCTCCGCGGTAGCAACCTGAAGATTTTCCTGATGTACAGACGATGTAACCAAGAACACAACCTCTTCACCAACATGGAAGCCCCCTTCTGTGTCTGGCACGGGCAGTCTGGACAAGGCATCTGCTACCTGGTTGTGGGCTCCGCTGCGGTACTGTATTTTGAAGTTGTAGCGCAGCTGTCGTGCGGTCGACCTTGCAATACGAAGTGGCTGCTGTCCTGTGCTACGGGATGAGAGCAGTGCCACCAAAGCCTGGTGATCCGTCAGTAGAGTAAATGATCTGCCCCAAAGGTAAACGTGCCACTTCTCGCAGGCCCACAGACAGGCAAGGGCCTCGCGCTCTCCGGCAGAGTATTTTCGTTCTGTCTCTGTTAATGTCCGCAATGCAAATGCCACAGTACGCACATGGGACCCCTCCACTTGCTGCAGTATGGCACCGAGACCGTACGCAGAGGCATCTGTTGCGACAATGACAAGTAGCGTCGGGTCAAACATTCGGAGGACCTTGTGCGATGCTAGAAGTCTTTTTACTCCCGCGAAGCTCTCTTTCGCAGCGTCATCCCAGTCGAAGTGCACGTCTTTGCGAAGTAGATGGCGCATTGGCTCTACTTGCTCTGCCAGTCGCGGCACGAATTTGGAATAGTATTCAACTAGCCCCAAAAAGGAGCGTAGCGTGGCTGCATCTCTAGGCGCAGGAGCATTGATGATTGCATCAATCTTGGTCTGGAGCGGTGCTATACCCTCTGCGCTGACGCGATGTCCTAAAAACGACAGCTCCGACGTGTTGAAGACGCATTTTTCGTTGAGCTTGAGCCCAGCTTCTGCTATTCGTTCCAGCACTTGCTCCAAGTTTTGCCTGTGTTCACTCTCCGTCTTGCCAAAAATGATTACGTCATCCAAGTAGCATAAGACCACTTTGTTGCAACCTTCAAGAATTTTCGTCATGATCTGCTGAAACGCAGCTGGTGCCGATGCCAACCCGAAGCAGACCCTCTTGAATCTAAAGAGGCCATCGTGAGTTATAAATGAAGTTAGGTCCCTGCTGTCTGGGTGCAGCACAACCTGGTAGTAGGCTGATGCCAGGTCCACCTTGAAAAAGCAGCGGGCTCCATTGAGGGCATGAAGCAACTCCTCCATATGAGGCAAAGGGAAGTTGTCTGCTGCTATAGCTTTGTTGGGTTCCCGGAGATCGACACACAGTCGAATGCTACCATCTGCTTTGCGGGCTGCTACAATAGGAGATACCCACTCGGAAGCATTGACTCTCTCAATGACATCAGCAACAAGTAGCTTCTCAATCTCGTCAAAGACTGGCTGGCGGACTGAAAATGGTAGGGGTCACAGCTTTTTTTGTGCGACTGGTGCGATGGAAGTTTTCACCTTAACTCTGTGTTGCACCCCTCTTACAAGTCCCAGGCCAGGCAAAAACAAGTGGCCAAACTTGGTTTACAGTGTTGGCGGCATTCCAAACTTGGGAGGGCCAAGGGGTTTTTCATGCCTGGGGCTTTGGGGAAGGCCTGAACTCATTGCTGGAAGCTCTCGGCATTCCTGTGTGCACATTTGCAGGCAGCGCAATTCCTCTCCCATGATGCGAAGGCCAAGGGCTTGAACAGCATCCAGGCCAAGGAGAGATGTACCACATGGCGTAACATGAAAAGTTACAATGGCTTCTTTCCCCTTGTATGTGACTATGGCGTGAAATGACCCGAGAACGGGAATCTTCCTGCGCGAAAAATCCAGCAATGTAAGATGGGAACTTGTCAGTTGTACTGCGTTTGTGAACAAGCCTTGGAATTGGTGCTCACCC